AATACCACCTTATTAATGCACATACAAATAGGGTTTTTAGAGTTACTAGTAAATGTTTTACAATGACAGAGAGACGTGAACATCTTTTTTATATAAACTATAAACACTATATGAAGAAATTCTATTCTTTCCCAAATAAAGAATGTTTACTGTATTATAAATTCGTTATAAAGATTCTTCACAGATTGTATGGCGGAATATAACAGTAATTTGCAATGTATGTTATTTATACCATGTTATACATAAAAACAACCATTTATATAGGGCAATAAACTTATCAAAATCTTCATAACTAAAAATGCAAGCTGAGGGTGTAAACATATACTTGGTACAACATGCTTGTTTTATAAGAGGACCGATAGAATTACTCTGAAATGAACTTATATGCTATTGAGGGCTACAAGTGTTTGTATTAATTAAAGGAACTCCACGGAGGACGAAGAGCCTAAAACATCAAACTTGAAGTTCTTACATAGATCAGCTGGGGCACTTAAAAACAGAAAAATGTGCAAAAGATAAGTAAGAAATATACCCAGAAATAAACAGAAAATAGTATTTTTGTGTAATTTTGTCCGATCTGAGTTTTAGGTCACTTTTCACCTTTTGAGTACTTATTCTAGAAAAACGAGTGGCCGGATGATCTGAAGTTGTCCACACAAGATATTGGTCTAGACCTAAATCAAATGGAACATTTATCACGTAAAACTATTTCCAGTAACGCCATATCAAAAGAACTCAATGAGGTCCCTTTCATGATAAATTTATCGAAAGTAGGCTCAACGCATTCCAATGATTTCGTCAATTTACTTTTAGTCATAAACATATTATTCTAAATAATGCTGTATGGTAGACGTTAGAAAGTATTGTGTTATAACAAAACGAAAATTTATAGCAACAGGAAATGGTTCATTACTCTAAATATTGCACTTTAAATAAGCAATTAAAGTTTCAAAATTCTATTTTTTTGTTTCATTTACTTAATGAACGTTTATTGACGTAATATCCATGACAATAATAACATTTGTTTATCAAATAAGTTTATGAATATTTAATACAGAAGCAGGTGCATACCTTCCTATTTTAGCCATAGGAATAAAAGAGCAATTTTTTCTGATGTGGGCGTTGCTTATAAATGTTTGCTACAGTTATTTGGGTTTTTTGTAAAAACTGACTTATATCACAGATTTTTGAAATTTGTTTTTAATAAAAGGCTGAATGCATGTTTTGCAAATTATTACACAAACTAATAAAAAAATGTTTATATAAGTTTTTAAAACAGCAGTAAGTAGGTGTTGCTGTGTTTTGCGATTATTTGATTTATATATTTAGTATTTTCATTTAAAAAAAACGTTATGTGTCACAAATAAATTACTTATATAAATTGGTATAATTAAACGATATAAACAGGTTTAAAGAATAATTATCAATACCTAATTGCAACAATTATGTTCTCATAAAGTACATTCAGAAAGAAGTTAAAGACAAGAGTAAAAGAAAGAGAGATAGAAATGTAAGCTATGATAAGGTACTGTAAAAAAATACACGAAATCAGAAGTCAAACTTTGCGGTTAGTCAATGACTTTCTTGATAACAGATTGCAATCAGTAAAATTGTTTTTCTTAATGGTAGCAGCTCTTGAACAATCCAAGTATTTTCAGGTGTCCACAAAGGCTCAGTTTTAAAACCTCTCTTGATTTTCGTTAAAGTAGAAGATCTCACACAAAACATCATCAATTCCAAGGTTTTCCTGTTTACAAACGACACGCATTATACAGTGTACTGACATCTGCAAACCAATAGATCACCCTCCAAAATGACCTTAATCGGTTCGAAAAAAAGATAGTTTGAATTGTACATGTGTATATAATTACCCGCATAACTAAGATATATACATTATAGATGCTAGGTTATTCCTTTTCTACAAGAGTCAAAATGGTATGGTTGCTGTTCCCTCCGAATAATAACCATCATTCTCCCTCCCTCCCCCCCCCCCCACACACACACCCTAAATCACGCCGAAGCCATCCCCTGAGGTATAAATTATTTACAGCTATCTCAGATTACTACAGATAATCTTTCTTTCTAATTCATAACTGTTTACTATTTAAGCCCCTAACCCTCTCAGTTGCCATACTTCCAAGCCCAGAACAGTTTAGAATAGAAATAAATAATCATGTATGACCCTAGTTTTCTAGACCTCCCTTCCGATTTTAAATCTTTTCGTCTTTTATCCTCTTAGCCACATCGTATCTACACCCTTGCAAGGTATTCGACATTATTAGGAAATTGATAAACAGTATTTGGGCTTCTTGAAGATCGTTCAGCTCGACATTATTGTTGTGTGTACATGCATGTTTGTGGTGTTTTTATTTCCATATATTTGACCTTTTCAACCAGAGTTTACAATAAATGAAAAAAATGAACACATTGGTATTATCCCAATTTGTATACATTGTTGCTTTTTAAATCTGTCTATTGGCAGCTAATCTGTTATATGCAGGCTTCATAACCTCAGACCCCTTTTCAAAATTCCATTTTATTTAGTTCCGATCATTGTTTTCTCGTTTAAGTCACACGCATTCTTTTAATTGGGAACCATACATCGATTTCCATCGAATGGCATTATGTCTCAATGAAGGTTCCATGATAAATATTGTTGTTTTTGGACATTCTTTAGAGATTTTGTTTTTATTCTGGTTCCCGTCATCTAACAAGTATTTTTGTTTTTCGCTATTAGCGAATACCATCAATTATTTCAATAAATATTTCTTGTCTAAGGGAAGCAACTCATACTCCTATTACTTAACAAAATTTAATGTATCTGGCAGAAAGACTCCGATGATATCTGATCATAGCCTGCTTACTTAAAATGATTTTTTAACATTTTACCAAATATCACATTGATTTATGAGATCCCGATTTTATAAATCTCTGAAAATGTCAAAAAGTAACTCATAGGTCTTTTGCCGAGTTACATATCGGGAAACCTCAAGCCTATTACTTAAGAAAATATGTTTGTGCATTTGTAACCTTCTTTTGATTCAAGCTTTTTATCGATACAAGAGGAACACAGATTTAAATTCAGGATAATTTGCTAAATAACCAGAAGAACTTTTTTTAATCTTGTCTTTTTGTAGTTTTTTTATCTTTGGTTTGTTATTTACATGCGGATCCGGATATAGTACTTACTTGAAAATTCATGGCCAAAATAGACCTTTGCAGAAATTAATGGTTAAAACATTTAAAAAGGTACAAAATGGCCTCTGAATCACAATTGTTGTTTAGTAAGGTAGAGACATAATTGGCTGACGCGAAGCAATTAATTAACACCCACGACACATTAAAATTGATAACTTTTTTCGTTTAAGTACGAATGTTCGTACACAATATTAATCGAACCGTCATGCATGTCTATTAGCTTTATTGATTGTCTTCTAGAAAGTAAAAGATGTAATAATTTTTTGTTTAGTAACTTATTTGTCAAATTGCTTTCAATTAGTCATAATGTTGAGAGAAAATAAAATAAAATTTAAAATGTAAAAAAACAACAGTTAACAATATAAAAAAATGCTGATTTTCCTGTGCACAGTAATTTTTCCTTTGCTATAAATTCAAAGATAATAATTATAGTTACATGTACATGTTCAGTCCAAGTTGTATATGTACATTATCAAAAGCACCACCGATGTGAAAAGAGTTGTCAAGGTGAAGAAACATAATAATCACTACTCAACCTATCTTGTACCAAGATCCATGAGCACTACACATTTGAATTAAAGATAATGCATTTTATTCTTTAATTTTCAAATAAAAATTAAAATACATGTACAGTAGAACTTCTATGTGTCAAACTTTGATTAGTTGATTTTGTTGATGTGTGGATGTAAATGTAAAGTCTTGTTTTTTCCCTTACATATCTTCTATATTACAATATTTATAGGTTTCTAATCAGTCTTTTTTTTCTTCAGGAAATGAAATAATTTGCATGAATAAAATCAATTATAATAGTAATTATTGAGAAAAATGGGGATGGTCAGCAGGGAAATTTCTTATGCTACTTACAATGGCATGCACAATCCAAATGTTTTAATCCGCAGAAACTCATTTTGCATGGCAGAAAGAGCTTTATACAATTCTTCATAAATTATTAATATCTTAAGTAAATATTTGAGCCGCTTCACGACAAAACCAACATAATGGGTTTGCGCGCAGTCTGATCAGGATCCATGCTGTTCGCTATCAGTTTCTCTACTTGTAATAGGGTTTGTAAGCGAACAGCATGGATCCTGATCAGACTGCTCGGATGTGCAGGCTGCTCTGGATCCATGCTGGTCGCAAACCCATTATGTTGGTTTTGTCATGACATGGGTCATTTCCTGTTCCGCATAGCTGGGACATAAAATATCGGGACAAGCATCTTTGATATTAGCTTCATGTTATCTTTATGTCCAATCAGGTGTACTTGCCGCCACTTTGTCTTGTTGATCATTCTGAAAGGTTTCTTTTTGAAATATAATAATAAGCCAAATGCCGTAAGATTTAAATGGTAATTTATGTATGTATATTACCTGAACATTGAACAATAATGTAAGGAAAATTTACCAAACTTTTGGCTGATTTTAGCCAATTAAATGACCGTTTATCTAGTTGATAATTGCTTATCCCATTAAGGCCATTATGTTATATCCAAGCATACTGTTACATGTATATATATCTGGACATTATGAGATTTTAAAATTCTTAAATAAGTTTGTAGTTAGATTTTTATATATTGAAAAGCCAAAAGAAATTAAAGACACTTCTTGTGATGTATATTATCATTTTTTATGAAGAATAAATTTCACCTTTTTAGTAGAGTTTACAATAAATAAAAAAATTGAACACATTGGGATTATTCCAATTTGTATATATTGTTCCTTACTTTTTAATTTTTGCTGCAATATTAAAAGATTGCATACTAACTGTTTGTCTTAAAATTTGACTTTGAATTTCAGAGTATTTTCTGTAATCATGATATAGCTGTTAACGTAAGATGGTTAGCAGTGATGTACATAAAAAATGGGGTTGACAGATACTGGAGAAGAACAGCACCAAAGTAGGTACACTTCTGTTTAATTGATGATGATATTTTGAGATACAATGTCAAGGTTTTTTTCCAAGATTTTTCCTTTTAGTTACTTCACAATATTACACATTCAAATAAATTTTCAAAATTTTCTTGGAAATTAGCATGAATCTGGAGGCATGCTGCTTTAAATGTGTTGTAATCAGTGTAAAAAAGACAAAACAAATAAGCAGTAGTTCTTTTCAATGTTTTCAGTGCTATGAAAGAAGATGAAAAAGAGACTATAAGACAAAGGCTGTTGGCAAACTTCAATGAACCTTCACCACAGGTTTGATTGTATTTTAATGTTTGGGAAATATGATAATTTTCCTTTTAATTAAATAATACTTTAAAAAAAAATAGTTTGAGTGTACAAGTATTTCTGCACTCTTGACTTGAGAAAAGTAGAGATGTGATAATCAGACTGTGCTATACCATCACCTTAGTGCAGTAATGGATTAATTCCTATTAAATTTTAAAAGAAGTTAACCTGTTACTGCACTAAGGAGGTGATATGTGCTTTGATGAATCATCAGTTTCCTATCTCTTCATATAATTATTGTTCATCAGTTATTTAGAATAGGTTGAATCAACCATATAATAATGAAACCAATATAACTTTACTGTTGATAAATTTTATTTAAAATATTTCATAAGATATAGATTTATACCCTTTAATAACATGAAGATTTTTTGTACTTCAGATATGTACACAAATGTCTGTACTGGTTGCAAAGATAGCAAGATTAGACTGTCCCCGAAACTGGCCTACTTTATTACCGACTTTACTACAAACTGTGCGCTGTGATAACCAACTGTTACAAGAACGTTCCTTGCTGGTGTTACATCATGTGTTGAAAACACTCGCGTCAAAACGCCTTGCACCAGATCGTAAACTCTTTGAAGATGTAAGTGATGTTTCACATATACATGTAGTTGTCTATATGTAAAGTACAGTCTCTGCAGAACATCCAGGCCTTTTCCTAGTCATTTGTGAGAAAAATACCTTGCCCAGTTTGGAAAATTTTGCATATAAATTCAGTATTGAACTTACACTCATTCAATATCCTCTATTTATCATATGACAAGGTAAATGTGTCAGTATTTAAATAAAGATTATCTATTCATGTGAGAAAGTTATCCAGGCAGCTTACTGATGGCCAGTGGTTTACTTAATTTTGGCCTTATGTTAATGGCAAGTTGACAACCCTGTTATAACATATGAATGCTTATGTTTCAATTTATTAATAAAACCTATTTTTTTATAAAAAGAAAGTGAACAAAGTTAAGATATAAAAAAAAAATTTTCCAACCTAATAGCAAAAATTTGGTAATAAATACTATAAAAATCAATAAATAAACATTGCACTGTATGATACTGCAAGTAGAACTGGTACACCTTTCTGTTATGTGTGTATTTAAGTTTATTTATACTCTCCACCAGTTGCCGATATGGGCGAGTCCTCCAGAAGAATATTAGTCATTTTAGATTTTGGAGACAGATACAGAAGATGCTCCAATTTCAGAAGCTTCTCCTGGTTCTTAAACATGCCAAGTGTTAAGGCGCTTGTACACGGGATCTTGATTTAAAAACATCTGAAAGACTAATAAGCAATTTAAGTTGGCCAGCCCAGGAATCAAACCCACAATGTTGAGATAACGAGTTATGCGCTATAACCAATTGAGCTATCTGACTAGCCGGCAGCCTTAGGGTTTATAATTCTTGCACCTCTTCTTTCAGTTAACCAATGAAATATTCAGCTATATCTATGGTTTATGGACAGATCAGTTGTCAGAATTTCTCCAGTTAGCTGCCATGCACAGTGAGGAGATGCATACAGTGATTGACAGAACTACGTTGTCTTTGAGGAGTAAGTGCGCTCAGCTCTCCATTTGTAGGGTCACTTAAACTTACAGTGTCTATTCTAGGATTCGAAAAATGGGTGATTTTTATCAAAAAGTGAGAATTTATTACATTTGTTGATCTTTTTCCTTCTTTCTCCATGTAAAATTCCCCCCCCTGCCTCTGAAAAAAATGGGGGGAATTCTCTAAAATATGAGTGAATCAATATTCCCCCTCCTAGAATAGACACTGAATTTATATAAACTTATATATAAAGAAAAACTAATTTAAGTCTTATTGTGTGAAACTACAAGGCCCAGAGCTTAGATATTTAGCATTAATTTGTAGATTTCTACAAATGTTATATTAATCATGACTCTCCGGTCAAAATTGCCCTCTATAATAAGCATATAGCATTGCCTAGTAGACTTCTATCAAAAGCTTTATGGTTCCTGCAAAAAATGCAAATAATGCCTCAACCTGGGAGGTCATAAAGTGTCATAAGGATAATAATAATAAAATATTTTTAGACCAGTATCTTTATTGAGTCTCTCTACACCATTTGATTACTCAAACAAATTTGCATTCCCACGAATATTGCCTCGCCTATGTGGTGCTCTTGTTCACCCTTACCATGCCATATATCTAAAATGGACCTGTCCAACTTTCAGTCTGAACAAAATCATTTGGATTATTTTAGGGAAAATTTCACACTAACTACTGACTAAATAGTGAACTGTGCAAACCTTGTTCCATCAGTATGAATGTGCAAAATAATCTTGGTCCGCATTGATACCTGAAGTCTAAGGAATTTCACATTAACAAGTACAGTCTGAAAAGTAATCAGTGTTGACAATGTTCCAACAGGGGGCTTCTGTGGCCGAGTGCCAACAAGGGGCGTCTGTGGCTGAGTGGTTAAGGTTGTTGACTTCAAACCACTTGCCCCTCACTGCTGTGGGTTCGAATCCCGACAGGGACTTTGGATCCTTTCACGTGAGGAAGCTATCCAGCTAGCTTACGGAATGTCGGTGGTTCTACTCAGGTGGCCGTTGTACCTGAAATAATGCACGCAAAGTGCACCTGAGGTCTTCCACCACCAGTAGAGCTGGAACGATGCCATATGACCTATAATGTGTCGGTGTGATGTAAAACCTAATTAAACTAACAAAATGTTTCAACGGTATGAATGTGCCAACTCATCTTGGTCCGCACTGGTTACCGGCAATATAAGGGTTTAATTTTGTTAGGTCTTCGATTTTTGATGTGCACCATGTTATTTTTCAGCATTACGGAGAATGGTTGTACACGGCTTCCGAGACCCTGCCAGTAACCAGGAAGCTATGAGTTTTCTGAATGACGTGTTTGTGAAGCTTGATGCCATGCTAGAATGTAGTAAGTATAATGTCATTATCACTAACCGGTAACTTGCTTGAACCAAAAGAGACAAACCTTTGGCACCAGATGGAGTCATGCCCGAGCCTGCACATACTGTTGGTAGCTCAATTTTTGCATTTGATATTTTGACGAAAATTTTAAGTTTGTAACGGAAAGATGCAAATCAACAGAAAAGATTATCCTGCCATGGCTGGGGTTTGAACTCATGACCTCAAGCTTACATGCTACAGGATTGTCCCTGAATTTCCAGATTTTTAGACTGCTAAAAGTCCACTTTTTCTATATCAAATTGTTTTAATTTATGTTTACATTAGCATTTTCTAACATTTCAAATGAAAATGACAAAATTAATGCTGGGAAAAGTGCTATTTCGGCTGTCTAATATTATTTATGGTATGGTGAACGATTACAGATTTCAGATTTGTATCTGTATTTACAAATGTAATTGTAACATGTATATTTTGATGAAGTGATTATCCCTGTATTGTCAAACTGATAAACTGCATAATCATTATTAACACATAGTTCATGTATTAGCACAAAAATGCATTCGGATCCTAGTTCTTTTATTGAGGCTTGTTTTCTAATATAGGACAAAGTTTATGGGGAGATCACAGAATGCTAGAGAAATGTGAAAAGATGATCAACATTCTTACAAAAGTGGTAAATAGAAGTCTTATGTGATTAACTTCCAGAGTGGAAATACATGTACATGTATGGGGCGTCCGTGGCCGAGTGGTTATGGTTGTTGACTTCAAACCACTTGCCTCTCACTGCTGTGGGTTCAAATCCCGGTAGGACTTTGGATTCTTTCATGTGAGGAAGCTATCCAGCTAGCTTACGGAACGTCAGTGGTTCTACTCAGGTGCCAGTTTGTGCCTGAAATAATGCACGAAAGGGCACCTGAGGTCTTCCTCTACCAGTAAAGCTTGAACGTCGCCATATGACCTATACTGTGTCAGTGTGACGTAAAACCCAATCAAACAAACAAACATGTACATGTAATAGTAAAACCTTTGTCTGTCTACTAAAGAACGGTAGTTTTGTTTTAGTTTTGTTTGGTTTTAAGGCACATCAACCCAATTTAGGTCATATGGAACCGAAACAGGAAAGATGATTTTGTCTAACCTCCGGTGTTACAAACTTAAAGCAACACCAGGGGTGAAAACCAGCTCACCTGCTGGAGCTAAGAGATGCATAGACACCAGTAATTCAAACCTTTTTAGTCGCCTCTTACGATCACACAGAGATAAATGGTGGCTGCAATTCTGATGTCTCAACCCTTAAAGGCAACTGCTCAGCCACAAGGGGTATCATACCTTTGTGATGTATAAGTAGATTGCTGACTATAAACTTTTACTGTATAAGTGGATATTTATGTGTCACAAAAATTTTGCAAATGTCATTAAGTAGGCATTTTGCGTGCTGAAATATTTGCGAAAATATGATTTCTTGAATTTAATACTGTTTTCTTTTTGTGATATCATTAATTAAGCAGGAACATGTTAAGAATATGCCGTTATTATTATCCGGCGGGGGATATAGAAATAGTCTCCGTCCGTCCGACCTTCCGTCCTTCCGTCCGTCCTTCCGTCCGTCCTTCCGTCCGACATTTTTGTCCGGAGCATATCTCTAAAAGTATTTGAGTTATCAACTTGAAACTTCATAGGTGGATAGACCTCATTGAGGAGGAGTGCAGTGCACAAGAATGATAACTCTACCCTGCATAATTTTTGAGTTATTGCCCTTTGTTATTTTTCAAAATTGATTTTTGTCCAGAGCATAACTCCAAAAGCCTATGAGATATCAACATGAAACTTCATAGGTGCATAGATCTCACTCAGGAGGTGTGCAGTGCACAAGAATGATAACTCTACCTTTCATAATTTTTGAGTTATTGCCCTTTGTTATTTTTTTTACTTAATTTTTCACCTGAGTGAAGCATAACTCAAAAAGTGTTTGAGATATCAACATGAAATGTCATAGGTGGATAGATCTTATGGAGGAGGAATGTTGTGTGCAAGAATGATAACTCTTCCCTATACAATTTTTGAGTTATTGCCCTTTGTTCTTTTTCATACTATTTTGTCCAGAGTTTATCTCAAAAAGTATTTGAGGTATCAACTTGAAACTTCATAGGTGGATGGATTTCATTAAGGAGGAGTGCAGTGCACAAGAACGATAACTCTACCCTGCATAATTTTTGAGTTATTGCCCTTTGTTATTTTTCAAAATTAATTTTTGTCCAGAGCATAACTCTAAAAGCCTTTGAGATATCAAAATGAAACTTTATAGGTGCATAGATCTCACTCAGGGGGTGTGCAGTGCACAAGAATGATAACACTACCTTTAATAATTTTTGAGTTATTGCCCTTTGTTATTTTTCATACCTAATTTTTCACCCGAGTGGAGCATAACTCAAAAGTGTTTGAGATGTTTACATGAAATGTCATAGGTGGATAGATTTTATTGCGGAGGAATGCTGTGCACAAGAATGATAACTCTTCCCTGTACAATTTTTGAGTTATTGCCCTTTGTTCTTTTTCATACTATTTTGTCCAGAGTTTATCTCAAAAAGTATTTGAGGTATCAACTTGAAACTTCATAGGTGGATGGATCTCATTAAGGAGGAGTGCAGTGCACAAGAACGATAACTCTACCCTGCATAAATGTTTAGTTATTGCCCTTTTTTTATTATTCAAAATTAATTTTTGTCCAGAGCATAACTCAAAAGGCCTTTGAGATATCATTATGAAATTTCATAGGGGCATAGATCTAATTCAGGAGGTGTGCAGGGCACAAGAATGATAACTCTACCTTTTATAGTTTTTGAGTTATTGCCCTTTGTTATTTTTCATACTTAATTTTTCAGTTCAATTTTTTTCTCAAAAAGTATTTGAGGTATCAACTTGAAACTTGATAGGTGGATAGATTTTACTGAGGAGGGATGCAGCACACAGTAATGATAACCTTCCCTGCATTATTTTTCAGTAATTGCCCTTTGTTATATTCAGCCATCAGTATTCACATAGGTTTCAAATCTGTAATCACTATAGCCATCAGTTTTCATTACCAAAAGACCTCCTAAAATGGAATTATTCTGCTCTACTACTTGTACATTCTTCCAATGAGCAAACACATTCGGCGGGGGATGGCCATGTTGACATGGCTCTTGTTGTAATTGTTCTATTCAGTTGTTTAATACCTTTATTATTTATGCAATTGTTTGAAGTATACATATATATTTGATATATATAGTGTTATTAACACAAATATTGTTTTATTAAAACATTAGTAATTTGTTAAGACCAAACTTAAACAAACAAGAAATGAGAAATATTAATCTTAGTACCAGAACAGTCAAACTTATTCATGTAGGATGCTGTATGAAAACGTGTTTTCAAATGATAGAAGAAAGTTTTGCCTAAACAGAAATTATTTTTGCATAATCAAATATTTGCGAATAATTTCAATTTGTAAACATCGCAAATATTTCAACACCGCGAAATTTTTCACTTATACAGTATATGCTTTTTAGCTCACCTGTCACAAAGTGACAGGGTGAGCTTTTGTGATCACTTTTCGTCCGGCGTCCGTCCGTCGTCCGTAAACTTTTACTTTAAATGACATCTTCTCATAAACCACTAAGCCAATTTCAACCAAACTTCACAGGAATGTTCCTATGGTGGTCACCTTTGAAAATTGTTCAAAGAATTTAATTCCATGCAGAACTCTGGTTGCCATGGCAACCAAAAGAAAAAACTTTAAATATCTTCTTCTAAAAAACTCAAAGAGCTAGAGCTTAGATATTTGGCATGAAACATCTTCTAGTGAGTGTCTACCAAGTTTGTTCAAATAAAAGCCCTGGGGTCAAAATTGGCCCCGCCCCAGGGGGTCATTGATTTTCCCTATATGCATATAGTAAACCTTAAAAAAACTTCTTTTAAAGAACCCAAAGATCTAGAGCTAAGATATTTAGCATGAAACATCCTCTAATGGGTGTCTACCAAGTTTGTTCAAATAAAAGCCCTGGGGTCAAAATTGGCCCCACCCCAGGGGGTCATTGATTATCCCTATATGTATATAGTAAAAACTTATAAAATCTTCATTTAAAGAACCCAAAGAGCTACAGCTAAGATATTTAGCATGAAACATCCTCTAATGGGTGTTTACCAAGTTTGTTCAAATAAAAGCCCTGGGGTCAAAATTGGCCCCGCCCCAGGGGGTCATTGATTTTCTCTATATGCATATAGTAAAAACTTTAAAAAATCTTCTTTTAAAGAACCCAAAGAGCTAGAGCTAAGATATTTAGCATGAAACATGTTCTAATGGATGTCTACCAAGTTTGTTTAAATAAAAGCCCTGGGGTCAAAATTGGCCCCGCCCCGGGGGTCATTGATTTTCCTTATATGTGTATAGCAAAAACTTAAAAAGTCTTCTTTGAAAAAAAAACAAATAGCTAGAGTTTAAATACTAAGCATGAAACATCTTCTAGTGAGTGTCTACCAAGTTTGTTCTTATAAAAGCCCTGGGGTTAAAATTGGTCCCGCCTCGGGGGTCATTTATTTTCCTTATATGTGTATAACAAAAACTTAAAAAATCTTCTTTAAAAAAACTCAAATAGTTAGAGTTTAGATATTAAGCATGAAGCATCTTCTAGTGAGTGTCTACATGGTTTGTTCAAATGAAAGCCCTTGGGTCAAAATTGGCCCCGCCCCGGGGGACATTCATTTTCCTTATATGTGTATAGCAAAAACTTAAAAATCTTCTTTGAAAAAACCCGAATAGCTAGAGTTTAGATATTAAGCATGAAACATTTTCTAGTAAGTGTCTACAGAGATTGTTCAAATAAAAGCCCTTGGGTCAAAACTTGCCCTGCCCCAGGTGTGTCATTGTTTTTAACTATATGTGTAAAGAAAAAACTTGACCAGCTAGACCTTAGATGTTTAGCATGAAACATCTTCTAATGGGTGTCTACCAAGTTTGCTTAAATAAAAGCCCTGGGATTTAAACTGGCCCCGCTCCGGGGGCCTATATACAGGTGAGCGACTTCAGGGCCATCATGGCCCTCTTGTTTAGGCTTTCTCTTTTAACAGTTAATGTGAATATGTCTGTATAATTTTATATTGTTTCAGTTACTGGATACTATGGAGCATCATCCTGTGTGTTATATGCAGTTTATACAGAGAACTCTACAGTTTGTTGTGAGATATAACTTCACACAAGCAGGTAACTCCTCTTGTTTTAAACCTCAAGTATTTAAAGGAACTCCACTGAGGTCCAATTGCCTAAAATAATAAATTTTGAAATTCTTTCTTAAAGCAACTGGTACACCTAAATTTGAAACCAAGCAAATGATGATGTATAAATGTACATGGTATTAAGTTGCTAATTGATTTTTATGTGATTTTTCAAATCGCCACTCACCACTCAGCTATTTTATTGCGGTTTGTACTTCAGTTTTGTCATACTGTCTTGGACAGGACTGATAAGGATAGTTTCGTCTATTAATATTTTCCCCTTAGTTTTGTTGCATATCCCTTTAAGTTTTCTAGATTTTTGATTACCTTAATATAGTACCACCTCTGCAGAATAACAACCATAGGGGAAACCCAGATCCTAGATCTGCAAAGCTGGAAAGTCGCCATATGATTTTTACTGTGTTGATACTACGTAAAACCCAAACAAAAATAAACCCAGATTTTGGTTTGTTACTGAGAGTATATCCTTTTAAAGAGGTTGACTTTATTGTAAATATTTACTTTTGGAATAAATTATATTGTTTTTGTAGAGGTTTTTGGTCTTCAATTGGTTGATCTATAGAGGTTTCACTGTATATTCGGATTTTTTGGTTTTATTTTTTCTAGGACTGTTGTATGAGAGATTTACAGTGAATTGTTTCAACCTGATGAAGAATATACTGATTGGTGATATGTACAGACTGGGGAAACATGAGGCAGGTAATGTCAGATATTTATTGTATTTTCAATCCTTAGTTTATATTAATATATTTCAGTTCCATTGTGTTGGAAACTGTAAGCTTATTGAAGAACTCACAAATCAGTTCCTGGAACCAACCAGTTTTAAGCTATGAGTGTCAAGTTTCTTGCTCACAGAAACAACAGCTTGCCCCTGTAGGGATTTGAACCCACTTGGCCAGCAATCCTTAGATTACTAGTAGATGCTTTAATCACTCAGCCATGCTGCCTCTCGACCCTTGATGTGTATACCCATGCAAACAGTGCAGACCAGGATCAGGTGACAGATCAGTGCTGTCTGATTATGGTCTGCACTGTTTGCTATTTAGTCTGAACAAATATAAAATCATTATGCTTTTGACTTTGAAAAGTAATATTTAACTTTAGTTGCTGGCGGCAACAGAGTGGCAGATTCGTTTTGATCATTTGCCATTTATCATAGTAGGTTGGAATCCTACTTGTAACTTTGAATTCTTCCATTTGAGGAAGCTATTTAACTATTTATTTTGAATTTTTCTCTAAATGATGAATGGTATTGTCCAGATTGAAAAATAGATATGTCCATTTAAGATAGTTAGGTTGGTAAGGGTTAATAAGTGGAAATGGAGCGGCAGCCTAGTGGTTAAGGTGTCTGCCTCTCATCACAAGGATAATAGGTTCAACGCATGGGTCACGACAATGTTTCTCCATATGACATCAGTACTGGTTGGTTCCAGGAAGCGGACTCAAAAGTGATTAATATATTTGCAAGAACTTGTTTCGCAATCGAGCTTAAATAAGTATGTTTACCACCGATAAGTGAATATCAATTTTATGTACATATAATTGTAAAACAGAATGGTTCTTATATCTACTTTTTGACATAACAATATTTCAGAACCAGACAGTACTAAAATGCAAGCACACAAGATAAAGGCGGTATTCTTCACGTTTGAGACCCTGACAGAGATATGTCACCGTCTAATCTCCCAATATTTCCTCCTTAACCATGAAGACCTGTCAACCTGGGACTCAGATCCAGAAAGTTTTTGTAAGTAACAAAAGTTTGTCTGGTTGGCTAACCTTTGATATTGATCGAGAAAAACATTAAAAAGTAGAAAAGTTAATTTTGAAAAAGGATTGGTTATCGCCTACTTTGGTCTAGATTTTTTGTCTGTGGAAACTATCTGATCCGTAAGAGTACTGTATGTAGCGAAGTTTATGTTGAATGAAGATTAGTTCTCAGTATATATAAATAAGATTTTTCATGTGAGGAAACTGAAAACTGATGATAGTTCTACCAATAGGCCAAATGTTTCTATTAAGATGCAAGGAAATCAAATGTTTATAACAACATGTTAAATGGTTCTACCAAGATAACAAATGGGTCAACCAAGATATCAAATAGTTCTACAAAGATATCAAATAGTTTGACTAAAATACCAAGATTTAAAAAGGTTCTGCCAAGATATCAAATGCTTCTACCAAGATATCAAATAGTTTGACTAAAATAGCCATTGTGCCAAAATGGTTCCACAATTATGCAAAATGCTTGCCATATTCTTACTTAATAGTTATACCAAAGTAACAAGTTCTTTCAAAATGGTTCTCATAGCTTGCTCTGTAAGCTATTCAATCAGTACATATTTTATATTGAAATTTTTCCTAAAAATGACTGATGGTTATGTTAAAAAATGGACTCATCCTTTTAAGATGTTTAGTGTAGTAAGGGTTAACTGCTAATGGACTTATCCAAGTTAAAATCAGGGCAAATCCATAACTATCGTAACTTGTAATTTTGCATGTATAAAAGGAATATAATTAACATGTGTTGTAATACGAATTGTATGAATATAATTTTTGTTTCATTTACAGGCCAAGAAGAGGTTGGCGACACATATAAATATGCATTGAGGGTAAGAAAATTGTGTAAAATATATTTAACATTTACAATTCCCGAAGTGTTTTAGGTTTTTTTCACCCTCTATCTATAAGGGCAGGGGCATAAAAATCAGTTTTAATTAATTATTTATCAATCTTATTAACAGTCATGAAATTTTTAAAGAACTTAGTCTCACTGTATAGAACTGGTCATTAACTAGAGGGAGAAGATATGTAGGTGGCAAGAAAAGCTCTGTTGTTAAACTAATGAACAGTATTTTGAGTGTTCCTGATTCAAGTCCAAGTCAAGCTACACAATGTTTGTCACACTGTGACATTTGGCACCCAGCGCTGGGCTCGTAATGGTATATAGTTCCAGAGTTGTGGAGAAGTATTCTCTATACCCATATGCAATCTGAGGATGAATTTTTGTAAAGTGGGCGAGTCTGTCTCAGTATAAAACTTTTCACTAATTAGGCGATGATTTACTCATTTTACTAGGGGATTAGATTTAGCGGCCAGATTGCTTATCCGGTACAACTGCTTTACAGTATTCCAATGGTGCCATGTTCAAATCTAAGTCAGGCTGCACTTGATTCTCACACTATGACATAAGTTTCTTTTCTTTTCTGTTGGCAATGATAAACATAGTCTTCCTTATATTTATTTTAGCCGTGTACAGAAACATTGTTTCTCAGTCTGTTTAAAGAATACAGATTGTCACTTAGTTCTGTGTTAATAAAGATGGTACGGGAATTGCAGGGACCATGTGACATGGATAATATGATAACTATACTGAGGAAAGATGCAGGTAACTATAAAAAAAAATAATTTTTTACTATGTGTAATCTTTAACGGCTTACCAGCTCACCAAGTTTCCTGATTATGGTTTTGCAAACATCTCCTCAACTTTTGAATGTATTCACTTTACATGTACCCTTACCACACTAAATATCTTAATTGGACTTGTCTATCTTTCAATATGGACAAAACCATTCATCATTTTTAGTGAATATTTCAAAATAAGTACTGACTGAATAGCAAACAGTGCAGACCATTCAGATGGCATTGATATGCAGGCTGATCTTGGTCTGCACTGGTTGCATGGGTAGAATCAGCAGGCAGAATGTTAAAGAATTCTTTGAAAATGTTATTCTAAGGTTTACAGTACACATGCACTAAAGATAAATGTTTATTTTTCAGTGTATAATGCTGTTGGTTTAGCCGCCTTTGATTTGTTTGATGATATAGAGTTTGACCAATGGTTCTCTTCACATCTGTTACAAGAATTGAAAATATCCCATGTAAAGTAAGTGACTCTAAGTTTAATTATTCTATGTAATTGAAGTAAATGATAATTTCATGATATTGATCCTTGATTTTTAGCTTGAGTATTCTTAAAACTGACAGAGCTATTTTTCTCACCAAGATGTTGGTGTCACACTTCTGTAAAGTTTTTGTGTGGGAGTCAGTGTTTCCAAAACTTTTGAAGGGAATGGATTGAAACTTTACACACTTATTATGGAGCTTAATAGGTAATCACTATCCAAAGCTTATATCTTTAACATGGATTTTTTACAAAATTATGGTCCTTTTTGAACTTACAAGATTCTAAACTATCCAAGCTCTTATTTTACTCTCAAGTGCTGAGAAAAGTCGAGCATGCTGTCCTACCGACAGCTCTTGTTTGTTAACAGTTTTGTATGGTTTGTTAATATTGTTAAAGAACAACCAGAATTTTTATCATGAAATAATTTTCATTTTCATATTTAATTGCTAATAAACAGATTTTAGATAAATGAAAAACACATGTTATCTTATTATTTGTATTGTTTCAGTTATAGAATAATAAGAAGACGGGTAATCTGGTTGTGTGGTCAGTGGGTAGGTGTAAAATTGTCGTCATCGTTACGACCAGCTTTATACGAGGCTATTTGCCCTCTATTACAGCCCTCGGAGGATCTGGTAGTTAGACTGGAGGCTGCAAACACTCTCAAACTTGATATCCTTTCAGTGTACACATTGCTTTACATAGGATCTTAACACTCAATCTGCTTAATTTTAAATCCCCATCTACCCTTAAGGTCAAGGTCACTCCTAAAGGTCAAATGTAAAAAGTTGAAATTTTATGTTCACTTCATGACCTTAAAACTACTAAAGGTTTTTAGAATTACAAGGACAAATGATCCTCATTATGAGATGATACCCAAAGCTCAAAATCCAGGTTGCTTCTTTAAAGGTCAAGGTCATACTGAAAGGTGGTTTTAAGGTTAGAAATTGTACTGGGGCAGGGGATTTAGCTTTCCTTTTGACTATCTTGTTTATTTCGGCACGATATGGCCAGTTATGTGTTGATGTGCCGTAAAAATCCAAACAAACTAAGCTCTTGTTGTAACCAACAGTATAAAGGCTAGTAAAACTGCTAAGATGGCTCTCAAGCCTCAGAAAAATTGAGCTACAGATGTGCAGACTGGCCTGGCTTTATTCTGTTGGCAAAGGCTAATCACTGTAGGATCCAACCGTCAAGGGTTAAAAAAATGACAAAAAGATTTGTTGGTTTATCTTCAAAACATTCCATTATTATACTAAAAGTGCTTAATATGATAATATTTTCATTTGAAATGTGATGATTTTAAAATTTCCAGAACTGTTAAGACTAGTTATGTAAAAACTCTTATGGATATGCTACAGTATTTTTAGGTTTATTTCTTGTTATTAGTTTGACTAGTGTACAAAGCCACCAGTTACATTTATATTGTTATCCTTAACAGAGATTCACCTGTGGATGATTTTGAATTTAAGGTTGACCAATTTCTTCCAGTAAGTATAGCTGTTTACTCAGTGTTTAGTACATTTGTTATCTTTGCAAAGTTAAATGTACAAAAGGGCAAAAGAAAATGCTCTTTATCTTATTTTTAATAGAACTTTTTTTACTGTTAAAGATTTTTTTACAATTTATAGACTGTAAAGCTGTTATAAGTTTAATAAGTCAGACCCTCATCAGCTAATTTCCATTGCAATTAAAAAACAAGTGGTATATACATAATTCATTTTGCAATGTACATCAAAAGTCATATTTAAGAAGGCTGAGTCAAATATTAAAGAGATAAAAATCTTTTGATTTTTAAATTTGATCTTCTACTATGCTGTTATATATGTCTCTTTTTATTTTAGTTTTTAGAAGTGATATTTTCTCTGTTGTTTCAACTGTTAAAGGAAGTGAATGAATGTGATACAAAGGTAAATGAGTTATTCAAAAAAACATAATTATTTTTTAATCTGAGGGTCTGAATTCAATGCATATAAAGTCATTACCAAAATGCTACACATTATAGATAAGTATTTTCATTCGGAACACATTTGTTTTGTATTCTATTCTAATTTGTAATTTATTTTTATCCTATGGTAATTTATTTATAACAGAAGCACAGATATCTCTATAAAGTGCATAAATAGATCTATAAAAATAACAACTCTATTTATATGTATATAATTGATGTAAAAATTTTCTTTGACTATAAGCATAAAATTTGCCTTTATTAGTTAGCATATTAGTGTTTGTCTAGGTCAAAATATCATCCATATATCAGCCACATAAGCATAGATCATGATATTTAATTATTGCTGACAAAGAGAGAGCCCTGGCTGCCAGTATAGCGTCAGGCCATCCTGCGCTTTAACATAATATAATTATTGTTGATAATATAAATAATGTGAATTTTCAGATGCAAGTTTTACATGTGGTGTCATTCGTGGTGGAACGTGTAGGAGTGCAGATTCGACCGTATGCCACGTCACTCGTGTCGTACCTGCCTTCATTGTGGGAGGAGTCAAGAGATCATAACATGTTAAAATGTGCAATAATTACTACCCTGATACATCTTGTACAGGTAAATGCCATTTTTCTGTCACCTTTTCCAAGGTAGCAGCAACTTTTTTGGATAATTTCTCTTTCGCCTTTCTGTCTGTCTGTCTCCCCATCTGTCACAAAACTTGTCCGGACTAATGCTATTTTAATATGAATCCCTTCAGGATCTGTTGCTAGCTCAAGTACTTGCACATATTAAACAGGTTTTCCAATTGAATGATTTAGGCAGAGTTATTGCCCTTAAATAAAAAACGTGTTCCAGTCTGTTAATGATTTTTATGTCTCCTGCTACAAAGTAGCTGCATCATGCAATTGGTTATCATCAGGCGTCACATGTGATCACTGATTGCTCTTGTTTGATAAACTGTACATTATTAAAAAAGAAGATGAAAACAGATTTTGTTATTCAATGTGGTGTGGTGAACATATTGGACTAGAAATCTACGAATGTCTTGCCTAATGGGTTTGTAACCAGTCAGAGCCAAGGCATTGTTTTGTTGTTGTTTAAAGAAATTTAACAATCATAGCTAATTACTGGTTAGTTTCAGGAATAGATTTGAAGCTTCCTACACAATGAAACTTAAATGAATTCAGTATAAGCTATACAGAATTTTTGCATATAAACATATAGATGAAAGAACTTGTAAACGAAGGAGAAAGAGAAAATTGAGTTTTTTGACTGACAAGATATCACAAATTTCAACCACTGCTTTATGGTTGTCATCATAGAAAAACTACATCATACTAAAACAGTTTATTCCCCTTTAGTTCACATTTTCAAGTTTTCTGGCTTTTCAGGGTTTTGGAAATTTGAGCTCCACGATGTACAAATTCCTACTACCTGTGATAGAACTAAGTACAGATCTTAGGCAACCGGAGCACGTGTACTTGATGGACGATGGGTTGGAGCTCTGGCATATAACCCTGACTAACGCCGAAAAAATGACACCGGAAATGCTTAACTTGTACCAAAATGTGTCGGAATTATTAGGTATTAAACTTTCTTTTATACTTATATTGAATGATAAGTAAGAAAAAAAAATCTGGAAAAAGGAATGATCAGAAACATTGAAAATAACAATATGATATGAAAATTGACTCGGTTTGATTTAGTTCATGAGAGCTAATGTAAAAGGGCAACGCGTCTCACGTCCCCTAGCACCAGCTTAACTTGTACTTAATCTTTACTCACATGTTTTAATTGATGACCCTAAAAAAATATTACAACACGGAAATGTGGGGCAACTTTTTACAGCTGCCACTCGGCACTTGAAACCCACTCTTGTGAAGTATAAAAATCTTGAGTCACTTGCTTTATAAAAAAATTGATTCTGCAGAGAGTGGACTGAAATTGTACTGTTTTGTTTGTTTCAGAAACAGGCACTGAAAATCTTAGAATGTGTTTGAAAGTGATTGAGGAATACATATTACTGGGGCCTCGAGAGTCAATGCAGGTGAATAAAGTAATTGTCACAATGTGAATAAAATGTGCAGCCTGGTCGGAATTTGAACACAAGACCCCTTAATTGTATTTTAAGAACTGCATTTATGAAAGTAACACTTCAGTGAAATATTAATGGAAGTTTTTAAGTCGTTATGGGAGTATTCATACTTTGACAGGTCATAACTTCACACCATAGTTACATTTTGACACATTAAAATGGGTTTCCATGGCCTAATAGTTGCGTTAGTCGTTAATTTTCACTGCAGTGGGATGAATCCTGCCAGAAGATGTGGTTTGTCATGTGATAAAGCTATCCAGCTAGCTTAAAAAATGTTGTTTGTTTTACTCAGGTACACTAGTGCCTTTAAAAATGCATGGAGGGGCATCTGAGTTTTTCGGCCACCAGCAAAATTAGAAAGTCATCTTTTTATCTTAACAGTGCTGGTGCAATGTATAACCAAACCAAAAAAAAAACCATAATATAATATGAACTTGACTCCAAGATGACCTTGTTAATTAAATAAGGTCAAATTTGAAAATTCTGGAAATTTCATCATTCTTTTATTACATTTTTGGGGCTATAATGAAAAACTCAGCTAATAAAAAGAAAAATCCAAACAGTAACATAATATGACCTTGACTCCAAAGGTCAGATTTCAAAATCTGGAGATTTCATCATACTTTTATAACTTGAGGCAAAACTCATCTTGCTTATAAGCTCTAATAAAGATTACTATGTAGTTTTACTGTTTAAGGTATACACTGGTGCAATAGTGAAGTCATTTCCATCACTGATAAAGGATTTACGGACTGAGGGGGTAATACTTGTGCTGAAGGTAGTGGAGCTCGTGTTCCGCTCATTCCCAGCCGAAGGTCCGGAGATGTTTTCTTCTATGTTACCTGGATTCCTTCGGTCAATTCTAACTTCAGATGTAAGTATAGCTATAAAAATCTGTGTAATAATTTATATATTATGTAACTCTATTAAACATGTATAATTTATATATAATGTATATTTTACATGTATATTACGTATCAACCATCGAAATATATAAGGGTTTTTCATGCTGCGTATATATATACATGTACCTTAGTATTCTAGTTAGATTACATAGACTCATCTATCATAGTAATATTAGTATCTCAAAGATTTTTCCTGATCGATTTTATTTACATGTCTGTTTTGAAGAAAAAGTCCATTTATTATGTGCTTCACTTGATCTATGTAAAAATTTCAAATTTTATTTTTTCTGCTTTTTGACCTCAGTCGAGCTCCTTTAATATAATATTGATTATTTCATTTATGAGTTACAAATACGAGCCGCATCATGACAAAACCGACATAATGGGTTGGCGACCAGCATGGGTCCAGACCAGCCTGCGCATCCGCTCAGTCTGATCAGGATCCATGCTGTTTGCTTACAAACCCTATAACAAGTAGAGAAACTGATAGCGAACAGCATGGATCCTGATCAGACTGCGCTGATGCGCAGGCTGGTCTGGATCCATGCTGGTTCGCAAACCCATTATATTGGTTTTATCATGACCTGGCTCATATTTCATCTTTGCTAATGATCATGGAGTACTCATTTATCATTATCTGAGAAAAATATTACATATAATATGGGACCAGATATGCAGGGATTTGATTTAATTAGAGGGGAGTAACTCTAAATAATTAAACTATCAAAGCAACTAGAGTTACCTGACATGAATTAAGGTGAAAATGAATTGATCACAATTATTCCCTGCAAATTATACAGGAAGCCACAGTGGGGAAAACAGAGAAAAAGTTTACATTAATGGAAGCTCTTCATTTAGATCAGGTAATCTTATTATTGACCAGTCTATTTTACAATTTTAATATTAAGGGGACTTAACTCTAGTAGAACTGAAACTTTTTTCTCTTTTTTTGTTTGCATATTAAGGGGACTGAACTCTAATGGAAGTAGATTTTTTTTTTCATTTTTTTACACATTTAAGGGGATTTAATTTTATTGTAATTTAAACTTATTGCTATCATTACACATTGAGGGGACTAAACTCTAATGGAACTTACAACTATTTCAATTTTTACAGATTAAGGGGACTTAACTCTAGTAGAACTGAAACTTCATTTTTTTTTTTGGCACATTAAGGGGACTGAACTCTAATGGAAGTAAATTGTTTTTCATTTTTTACACATTTAAGTGGACTTAAATCTAATTGAACTTAAAGCTTTTTCATTTTTTACACACATTATATAAAAGGGACTAAACTCCAGTGGAACTTAAACCTATTACAGTCTTCACAATAAGGCGTCTACACCCTTAAAGAACTGAACCATCTTATATTTTTACTAAGAAAGGGGACTTAACTCTTAACAGAACATCATTTAATTACAATCTTAATATTTTAAGGGGACTGAACTCTAATGTATCTTTTAGCTATTAAGGGGACTTAACTATGATTGTGAGTGGGACATTTCCATTCTGCATTCAGCTTATAGCAAAAATTACACTTTTGTTTTGCATATTATTTATTATCCAGTTATAGAAAAAAAGCACTAGTTTTCAAACATGGTTGCTTAATTTGGGATATATTCTGTGCTGAAATGAAAACAGATAACTGCTTCATATCATATCATTTATGCCATATTCTAACATCTTGGATATTCTCTTAATGTGGATGAGTTTTCAAAAACATTTATGTATATCATGACCTTATGTATATTATTTTATGTATATTTAGTTTATATTTTGATAAAATTACTTTTAGCTTGTCTATTCAAAGAATAATATGTCATATGTTGCGGTTGGGATTGGAATATCCGTCCTGAGGGGACCTGCCCATTGGCAGTAATGAGGCTTGCCAAGGGCTGGTAACCAAGGGACAGATACTCCTGTCTGAACCACAGAGATATGCTAGACATTTTTCTTGCATATTCTATCATATTTTAAAATTCTTTATCGAAATAAAACAATTTTTCTATGGAAAATTAATGTCCATTTCCCTCAACTATATTCCCTTACAAAGGGTAATAAATTCCTTTACTGGCAGAAAAATGATGTAATTCCTAAGCATACAGTTTCATTCTTGAATTTTGCAGAGATGTGTTTATTTTAATGGGGCATTCATGAAAAATTCATTAAAATTTAACACCGTTTTTTTTTAGCATGGGACTTCATTCTGGCACCCCCCATGCCCATAATGACATTTCGGCATGAGTAAAAACTAATGGAAACACCGTCTATTATGCAAGAATTTGGAGAGCTATTCTAATCATCCAGACGTCACATTTGGTTAAATTTTTGCAAAAGCAAGTTTTGGGAAAACTCCCAAAAAATTTTGAAAGGGAAAAAGATGGGTTCAAAACTTCACACATTTATTTTAGAGGATTTGTAGGAGGTCATTACCCCAAAGGCCCCATAACTCTAATTACTCTAAAAATGCCCTTTTTTATATAATTATGGCCCTTTTTTTTCTTAGAAAAAATTTTACATTAATTTCCCGGGCTCACATGAATTTAAAAGAGACAAAAACTTTGTTACAAAATCTTTTTAAAAAATGGCCATAAGGGGTTTTGGAAAACCCAAAATAATTTACCCGTTGATAAAAATTTATACCCAAATATTTTTTCTTACTCGTGGGTTTCTAACTTTTAAAAATTATTTTTTAGGGTTTTTTTATAAAGGGAGATTTTGAAAAAAATAATTTAAAACATCACATTAGATAAGCTTACTGTATGTGTGATATGCTGTCATCATGCTTTCATGTATACATATTTCAGTCATCACAAATTTCAACAAACTAAAAGAAAGAATGTTTTCAAGTTATTATATCTCACTGACCGATATTATCTCTTAATTGAATTTGAATGTTGAATATTGGTGATATATCAATATTGCCTTATTCCATGACAGCCCTATGTAAAACTAGCTTTTTTTTCTACATTCAACCTATGGATAAAGGGTTTGAGCCCTTCTGAGGTCTCAACCAGTTATCTTATATGACTTCAGTACTGGTAAGTTCTAAAAACCAGATTCAAAAGTAATTCAGTAGTTGTTAACTGAAACCCTGAAAATAAGAGTTATTCCAAACTTATTCCTTAGTACAAACAAACATTTACCATAATGGCTTCACATTGAACTTAATCACTCAATATAGCTAAGTCAAACCATTGCGCTAATTTTCAAAGTTGTAGCTAAAAAAAATTTACTTGTACCTGGGATTAGCTGGGAAAATCCAAAATATTCTTACTATCAGAGTAGGTCAACAGACTTACTCTGTAATTAAGAATAATTTGCGTTTCTCCCAGCTAATTTGCGGGTTCAAACAAACTTTTACAATTACAGCTTTGGAAATAAGCACAACACAATGACTAATCTATTGTAAACAGTGAAAACAGTAGTGCTCCCTGAAGTATGGTGGCTGATTTGGTAGACTTTGCGCGTTGCGTTGTCGGTAGCGATTTGAGCCGAGCGACAATGTGACATTGTGAAAACATACCACACAACATTAGCGACAGAACGACAAGACGAAAGTCCGACAGTGCGCAGTTTGGTACTTTCTTGTGCTATCGCTAGTGACAACACGACACACAAAAGCATTCCAAATCAATCACCATAGTGAAGCTATAACAGTAAAAAGTTTGTTTGTACCGAGAGATTAGTTTGGATAAGCCCACATTTGTCTAGTTCCGGATAACATCTATTGTTATAAAAAAACTTGTTTCACAATCAAGTTTAAAAAACTTTTAAAAAATAAATATTGTTATTGAAATATTAATTAATAATCTTGATCCCTTTAAAGCTGCATTGTTTTACAAATTACAGGAACATCCAATGGTCATGTCTATATATGTGACACTGTTTGCACGAATCATTCTACAAAACCAAGACTATTTCTGGACATTCCTCGAAAAGATTGCTTCTGAATCTCATATACAGGTAGGAGGTTTATCAGTAAATTATTGCTTTTGTGATTTTGTCATGTTACTCTTTTTAATGTGGATTGGTTTAAAATTGGGCACCTTTTCCATAAGTGTTTCAGATATTGAATTACTGTTGTTACTTAATTTTGTCATGTAACTTGTTTTAAAAGTGGATTGGTCTACAAAGGGCACCTTTATCATTTATATAAGTGTTTCAAATATTGATAAAAACAATAGTAATGTATCCTTTGGAAATTCATATTAAATATTTGTGGGGAAAAAAAGTTAATAGAATTCTAAGTGATTCAGTATGAAAAAAAAAATTTTTTTTCTAGAAAAAATTATCTGCTATATGTATGGAAAATCGGAGGGTTGTCAGTGGCCAAGTGGTTAAGGTCATTGACTTCAAACCACTTGCCCCTCGCCACTATGGGTTCAAATCCCGTCATGGACTTTGGAGTCTTTCATGTGTGGAGGCTATTTGGCTAGCTTACGGAACGTCGGTGGTTCTACTCAGGTGCCCATTTGTGCCTTAAAATAATGCACAGAAGCGCACTTGAGGTCTTCTTTCACCAGTACAGCTGGACATATGACCGCCATATGACCTGTGATGTGTCGATGTGACGTAAAACCCAAATTAAGAAACAAACTTGAAAAGATTTGCCCAAAGTATAACTCTAAAAGTATTTGAGTGATTTTTGAACTTAATACATGACAAAGCACATTTGTAGGAAGTGCATTGTGCAAGAACAATAAATCTATCTTGCCTACTGTTACTTTGATCAGATTAACTTGAAAAAAAAATTGTCCAAAGCATAACTCTAAAAGAACTTAAGTGATTTTCTCCAACAGAGCACATTGGTAAGAAATGCAGGATTTTAGAACTCTGTCTTGCCTACTATGTCAGAATTACATGGAAAAAAATACAAAGCATAACTCCGAAAGTACTTGATTGATTTTCTTCAATACACTGACATATATTAAACAAAAAATGTTAAAAGGTTTATCTATTATGACCATTAATCTTGTTTTCTTGTAGTCATCGGGTATTTTGAAGTCATTTCTACTTGCCTGGATGGAGACTATTGATAGTATGACACAACCAGAGAGAAGAAAACTGTCGGCCCTGGCTTTAGCTAGTCTTATTACTGTAAATAATAGGTAATTAAATAGTAGTTCTAGTACTAGAATGTGACTGTTAACTTGTGTATCGTTAGTATCTGACTGATGGGCCTCTGTGACTTGAGTTGTTACAGTTGCCGACTTCAGGTTCCCAATGCACCTCACCCTTGAGGGTTCGAATCCCATAAGGAATTTTAGTTTCTATTCATCTGAAGGAGCTATATACAGCTAGGTATAAATAGAAAAAGTCTGTGGTTCTACTCAGGGAGTGAGCTAGTACCTGAAGGGAGGGGCGTTTGAGGTCTTTCTCTCCACAAGTAAAGCTGGAAAGTCGCCATAATTATATATGACCTTTACAGTGAAGATGTGACTTAAAAGTCAATTAAATTAACAATTTTTTATTGATTATAGATAGTAAGGCCAAATAAAGCTGTATACTTTTCAATTTAATGTACCCAACTTGAATGTTGAATGCCTCTAGTTTTGTCTATAAGTTTTTATAAAAACTGAGAAATTGTTTTAACCTTTTCCCTTATATAAGCGTGTTTCGACGGCTTTTTGCCGCCCCCCCCCCCCCCTCCCCTTTGAGGCCTCAAACAAGTGAAAAAATGCCCTATTTAGGCCCCAAACACTGTTTTCCGTTTGTTGTTGTTAAAAAAAAAGTGACCACTTTTTCGGCGCCGTCCCCCATCCAAATATTACACCAGGGTGTGCCAGAAGGGGGATGTGCCCCTTTCTGTTTGGGGGGTTTGAAGGGGGGCAGAGTCCCCCTCATCTCCAAGAAAATTTTGGACATGTGACAGGCTAAAAATGGCCTCAGGTCGATCTTAGGGTAGCTAGTAACTGACGCTGAAAAGCCTTTTACTCTATCTCAATTCATTGAGAAGTTGCAGCATTTTGAAATCAGTTTTGATGGAAAAAAACAATGCAAAATAGTGATTTTTGGCAATTTTGAGACGTCCCCCCGTTGCCATGGTAACAGGAAATTTACCATTGAGCATGCTGTTACAGAGGCTATGGTGTAGTCAACATTTGTGCCAAGTTTCATTAGTATTGAAGCATTTTTCATACTTTCATAGCAGTTTGAACTTGTTACAGGAGGCTTTTCAGTGGAAATGGCCATTTTTCGCAATATGCTCATGGGGTAAAAGGTTAATGAGTTCAGAGGTTGTCAATGTATTTTATTGCATATATAAATATAAGGGATGGCAACGAATACCAAAATCAATACTCGAGTACTCGGTCATTTTTCCGATCGAGTGCTCGGTTACTCGGATGATAGCCAGTGATCTTCAAAGTTTATCACACACGCGTGCTACTTTCGTTTTCTATTAAATTCATAGAATTCTGTAGTGCACGGGAGACAAATTAATTATAATTAAATCAACAACATGATATTTTACAACGTTTTGATTAATGCAATATCAAGTTTTAAACATGTATAACAGTTCATATATCTTTTTGAAATAATATAGACTGATCGGCGGCAACAAAAGTTTAACATGGTCTAAATTCTAGTTACCTTTATTCTTACATTCATGATAGCAATCGGCCCTTTGTTGTTTTCAAAACAGTTACTTGGCTGCACAATTAAAGGTAATTAATATCATAAGAGGCTGGATGACATAAGCGACACGGGTGCGCGTGTCAAACTGTTGATCGCCTTGTTAAATTTATGATATCATTTTCACACCTTTGCAAGGATGTTTTGATTCCATTTAACGGGTATTTATGAAGATACATGATAATTTCAGAATTTCTGAACTAATTGGATGTACCAATCTTTCTAAATCGCAAAAAAATAGAAAATATATATTTTTCCGAGTAATCGAATATCAATTTTGTTAACCGATATTCGGACGTTCGATCGAGTACTCTGTTAACCGGTTACTCGTTGCCATCCCTAATAAATATACATCAACTTTACATCAACATATCTATACAATATAAAGGTTGCGATCGAGTTTTTAAGGTCGTTTACTACAAATCTCTTGTCCCTAACTCCTATGGGTTGGAATCCCAACAGGGATTCTTTCATTTGAGGGAGCTATCCAGCTAGGTAATTGACTGTTGGTGGTTCTACTTGGGAGGTGGCTTGTGCAGGTGCACCTGTGGCCTTCCTTCACCAGTAAAGCTTGAAAGTCACCATATGACTTATACTGTGTTGGTGCAACGTAAAATTCAACCAAAAATAATTCTTTTTTATACAAAATACATATTCAAAGTAAGGTTGGGTTAACATAAGGACTATCAAAATGAAGATTAGAAGGTGCTTAACTTGGGAGAACTACAGTATTCTCACCGGTATTTTAATGTTTTTTTAATTTATGATATCGGTACAGGATTATATGATGTATTTCAGTACGGTGCTAGAACTGTTTGGAGGTATTATAAGTGTATGTGTTCAAGTTTTACACGACGTATGTAGGGTACCTGTTGATGAAGAAACTGTGATCCAATTAGAGTAAGTCACGTTAAGTTGAGATTATTATATTTATAATTAGTTCTTAGAGAATAAAGCTAAATTCCCCATTTTGCTGTGTTTTTATGCTCCCCGAAGGGTGAGAATATAGTCGCAACTGTGTCCGTCCATCCGTCTGTCAGTCTGCACGACCAAATAGGGATAGTGGGGCAATTTAACTGTAAACAGAACAAAAGAGAACAATAGAGTTCATTCCGTAACAATAGAGTAAGGGGCCATTGGACCTCTATTAAACAAAAGAAAATAACAATAGAAATAGCTTTTTTTTCCGGGACATAACTCTGTAACAACAAGAGGTATCAACATGTAACTTTGTAGGTAATTAATTGGTTCTAACTAGTGTGAATATGAAAGTACCGTTTTATAACTTACTTTATCGTTGGTATATGTTTGACACAAGGTTCTTAAAAAAATTGGAAAATGTGCTTGAAAAATGATAAAAAATTGCTTGAATTTTAGCATTGTGTGTCTGTATAACCCGTGATTTATTATAATAATTCTACATTTGTTTTAGTGCTCTTGTGATATCGGACGGGGACGAGGCGAAGGGTGAGCAGGAATTAGAGACCGAGCATGAGAAAAGAAAGCGAGCAGTAAGATTTTACTTCCCTTAATTAGAATTACAGGCCTTTCAGGCAGAGTTATGAAAGTTTATTACTTAAGGTCCAGGGGGTTTTAGGGTAGTTTATTCATAGAATAAGTTACATACTTAGCTTTTGAGAGATAGGGGATTCCAGCCAAGTGCAGAATTTTCTTCTGGGAAAGTTGGTTTATACAGAATGTATTTTAGTTTGATTGTGTAGGAAGCTATAAGCATAAAGACACACTTTCAAATCTGTTCCTGGAATGAACCAGTACTGAGCAATGAGTGTAAAGTTACTTGCTCAAGGAAACAACGATTTGCCCCTGACAGGGTTTGAACCCATGCAGCTAGCGATCATTAGATTACTAGTCTGACGTGTTAACCACTTGGCCATGGTGCCACTTTAAATCGGGAAAGTTAAAGCATCAGTGTAACATAAAATCAAATCAGAGATATGAAAGAAGCTATGATTATTCTTGAATCAAAAGTATTATCATGTTGACGAAATACCTATCATTTACTTTTCTCTTCATATTGCATCTGCATGTAGTAAAGTGGTATGTTTAATTTCTTGCATGATGTTAAAGGGATTTGTTATTACATTTACTTAACTGTAGTCCACATATTGAAATGTGGTCTTTGGTAAGAAGAGTTGTGCAGGTGAAGAGCATCAAACACTATATTTAGTGCGGATGTCGTGAGTTAAAACTCCACTAGTGGCGAGATTATCAATTTCGACTTTTATAACCCACGCTAATGGACAACCCACACTGATTCGTTTACTGGATATGACACCCATGAAACAGCCAACTTAGATGACTTAAAGTGCATTTCTAGGGCCACAAAATGGTGGTTAACATTACTTCAGAAACAAACTAACAAACAAAAAATTGAACTTGGAAAAAAAATTAAAGATTTTTCATAGTTTTAAATGACTACTTTCTTGATTTGTTAAATGATACTTTTTCAACAGATATGTCAGTTTTGTCTAGAATATGGATGTGTTACTTGATTTAAGATTATTATTAAAGAGGTTCTGTAATTTCACTTACAATGATTGTATTACAGTTAATGCGACAAGATCCGGTTCACACGATACCACTGAAAGAGTTTGTGTTCCAACAACTACGCCAGTGTCATAATATTCATGGTGATAAAGTGTTTGATGAACTCACGCGTCTCATTGACCCTGATGTGTATATACAGCTACAACAGTTTACAAAGACTTGAAGTCGCCATGGTTACGGTGGCATGGAGGTTGAAGTCGCCAATGTTACGGTGGTGTCAATGTGATAGAATTTATCGTCGTTATTTTAATGATTTTAAAAACAGAAAGTTTACTATGTCCATGAAATAATAAAGTAATAGTATGGTGGGCAAAGTGAAAAGAAATTACTATGTACACTACATGTTCTTCATTAGTGTTGAAATGAAACATAGTTGCTGTGGCAACTCTTTAGCTATTTTGCCAAAATTATTCATACATTGTGGTCAGTGTATTAGAAAGTCATCAGCGTTTTTCATAAATTTTTGAAAATAAGTAATCATTTCCATGGCAACCATTTTGCTTTTTGGTTAAAAAGAAAATGCTAACAATGTGGTTGTTTTGAAAAAAAAATCAGTGAAATTTAGTGGCTGTTAGTGGACAGGTCTTGTTATCAAAACCATAGCTACTGTGATACCAGGATGTGCTATTTATAGAATTATTTTTTATTTAAACTTTTACCTTCTTAATTTGTATAATGGATCTGCCCTGCTATGAATCTGGAACAGTAAATGTAATATGTTGCCATGGTTAACATCTGATGGTTACCATCTGTCAATATACTATGTTGCCATGGTTACCGTCTGTCAATATAATATGTTGCCATGGTTACTGTCTGTCAATATAATATGTTGCCATGGTTACAGTCTGTCAATATAATATGTTGCCATGGTTACAGTCTGTCAATGTAATATGTTGCCATGGTTACCGTCTGTTATTGTTTTGGACAAAAGATCTCCATGGCAACTGTCATCATCAAGAGTTGTTGTTGTTGTTTGTATTGGTAAAGAATAGACATTACAATTAAACGCTTGGACACAAATAGACAATAATGAAATTTTGTAGATGTATAAATCTTAGAATGTATTTCCATGGTAACAATGTAAGAAAAAATCCTTTTTTTGTAATAAGGCATTGTGTTTCCTTCGTAACATTGTAAGAAAAAATACTTTTTTGTTAATTAGGCATAGTCATACACATATTCTTTTTTGATAAAGCTTGCAAACTAAGATTTTTTCCCCTCAAGTCTTGTCATACAACTGTTCACATACTTTTGCCTTTTAACCCCCTTATTTTGTGTAATGAACATTTCAAGCTTTGAATTTGGAATTCTCCATTATCAATTTTAGGTTTTTTTTAAAGATATTGATCTTGAAAGCAGGTAGTTCATTGTTATCGACCAAGTTTCTGATTATCAAGCACTTTATTGATGGCATAATATATATTGATACCTGCCTATACAATATAATCATTTTATGCTAAGGTCGTTGATTACTGGTCCTTGACTTCTGAAGGTTCTAATCCAGCTTTTTAATGGATTGTTTCAAATGCAGAGCTTTGCAAATCTCTTGCACTGATTTAGTGGGTTTAGGGTAAAGTTACCTAACTAGCATCCGTTATATATAATATATGGTACCATATACAGCAATAGTTATGTCAAAATAGCAATAATTATTAGTAATATAACAGTTTATGAATATTCAAATTTTGTTCAAGTATGCTAAAATGTTTTTTTTAGATGGTTTCATTAAAATGTTGCCTAATGTTTAGCTTAAAGTACGTACACACAGCTACCTCTTTAGAATGTACAGTCAAACCTGTTAAGGTCGGTCAACTCAAGACCTAAAAAATATTGTTGTTTTTTGTGGGTTTTTTTGACATTCTGTAAATAAACATTTCCAGTTTTAAGCAGTGAAAAATGTAGCCCCTTATTTTCTATTCATTGCTAGATCAACTGTGGACTGTAATTAAAATAAAACAACTACAGCTCTGGCAACAAAAGATTTAATTTTAAAAATTATGAAATAAAACCATGGTTTGTAATAAGGTGGTCTTGTGTTAAAGAGTGGTCTTTTAACACAGGTGTGACTGTGGTTTGTAGACCGTTTCAACTGTTCCTATAAATATGATTTGTTATTGCACTGTTCATAATAAAAAATTTTAATGCCCCCATTACTTCCTCGTCGGATACCCACAGTCTATTAATATGTAACATAACATGTAATCAATGTTAATGTTCGGCCGTGGGTATCCGAAGATGCCACTACTTTGTTGGGGCTGGGGGGTATACTGATTTGCCCTTGTCTGTCACACAGTCCTGCTGTCTGCCCGTCCGTATGAAGACTGACAGAATAGTGGAGTTCAGGAGCATATGTGTGTCCAATGGACACATTTCTAGTTTTTGCATTGTTTTTATTGCTAAAGCAACACAATTCCCAGCTGTTCCATACCTTATTACATGTACTTTCTTATGAATTTTTACTTTGTTACTTGCACAAACAAAAACTAATTCTAGTTAAAACCGGTTTTTAAGGTCACTAATGAATTATATTCAGAATGGTTTTAATATATTATATATTGCTATGGTGTCATTAGTGAGACAATATTTTAGTAAGAACTAAGATCCATAATCTTATTGATTTATCAATGTACAGAAAATATAATTATCTTGCTGATTGATAATTTACAGATTACATTAATTATCATACTGACAGAGAAATTAAAGGCACATTATGCCTCAGAAATTCATATTTTCTTCATTCTTTAGATCTGCTATGTATGTGTTTAAAATAATGTTTTAATAATACATTTAAAGCATTTAGTTATTCAACAACTAAAAATAGCTTATGCAGAGATGTGTTGGAAAGTTAGCAAAGTTTGATTATTTATTTTGGAATTGTGACAAGATACAAGAAATAAAAAAAAGTGTTTGAGAAATAAACATTATAGCATTTCTAAGGCATAATGAGCCTTAAATTAAGTGTTGACTAAACTAAAGTCTACCCTTTTTATTCATCAGGATAAAGTGTTAAAGTGAAATGGAAAAATAAGCCACTTTCGTATCTATGTTATATTTAGATGGTAAATATAATCTAAATCCTAAGATTGGTTAAAGAGGATCACTGTTCAGTTTTGAGATATTTGAGAAAATGAAGGCAAAAATCAAGTTTTACTGGTCATATAGAGAAAATCAAGGCAAAAATGAAGTTTTACTGGTACTGTGTCAAATATGGCTAAAATTTGATGAATTTGAATGATTTTTATTTTAATTCATTAAATGCTGTCTCAAAAGTTTACTATTTACACAAGCTTGGTCACAATATCTACCTATTTTCATTTTATAATACATATAAATTGTTTAAATAGGTCAAATTTTGATAAGTTTAAAGACTTGCTGAATTATGATAGAAGTTACATGTATTTTATTGTATAGAAAGGTAGAGACAGCGTCATTTAAAGTGCTAAGGTTATGTGCTAAAACTTTTTAAATTAAATTATTTTTGCACACGCAATTCATATTTTGTTATTGTTTCTTTATCATTCTGATTTTCCTTAGGCATCCGTGGATGAGAAGTTTAAAGACCGTTGACTTCAAACCACTTGCCGCACACCAGTTTGGGTCCCTTGCCACACATCACTGTGGGTCCCTTGCCACACACCACTTTGGGTCCTTTGCCACACATCACTGTGGGTCCCTTGCCACACCTTGCTGTGGGTCCCTTGCCACACATCACTGTGGGTCCCTTGCCACACATCACTGTGGGTCCCTTGCCACACATCACTGTGGGTCCCTTGCCACACATCACTTTGGGTCCCTTGCCACACATCACTGTGGGTCCCTTGCCACACACCACTTTGGGTCCGTTTGCCACACATCACTGTGGGTCCCTTGCCACACATCACTGTGGGTCCCTTGCCAAACACCACTTTGGGTCCCTTGCCACACATCACTGTGGGTCCCTTGCCACACCTTGCTGTGGGTCCCTTGCCACACACCACTTTTGGTCCCTTGCCACACATCACTGTGGGTCCCTTGCCACACATCACTGTGGGTCCCTTGCCACACACCACTGTGGCTTCAAACCACTTGCCACCCATCGCTGTGGGTCCCTTGCCACACATCACTGTGGGTCCCTTGCCACACACCACTGTGGCTTCAAACCACTTGCCACCCATCGCTGTGGCATCAAATCGTTTACCACTCCCATCTGTGGGTTCGAATCACTTGCCACTCACAGCTTGGAGTTCAAATTATTTGCCACACACCGCTATGGGTTCGAATCCTGTCCGAAACTTCAGAATCTTTTATGTGCAGAAGCTAGCTTACTGAACGTCTATGGTTTTACTCGTGGGTTCCCGTTTGTGTCTGAAATAATGCACGGAACAGCACCTTGCGTCTTTCTCCATCAATAAACCTGGAAAATCGCCATATGATCTTGATAGCGTCGTAGTGACAACCAAAAATTTGGTCTTGCGCTTTTCATCTCTTAATTATAACACGGATTTTTAATAACATTAAGCCGTGATTCTAACAAGTGATGTGAATTTTGCTTTAAAGTTTAACATAAGCTAGCTCGACGGTTCTACCTAGAGGGGCATGTGTGAATTGAATCATCACCAGTATTTGTTAAGAGTTGTCACAATCCATTTATACATTGTGGGTGTAGGTGTGCTATAATCGAGCGTAAAAAAGGTTTTTAATACATGTATATATATTTATTATTACATATTTATAACCAATGAGTTTCTTATTGAACCAAACTACACACTCTTGAAATGAAATTCCGGTGATACAGTCGACTCCGCTTATAACGAACTCAATGAGACATTTAGATATCGTTCGTTATATCCAAAGTTCGCTAAAAGCGATGTAGCAACAACTTTCGTTGACTTGTTTGGGTGGGCAAATGTGCCGTGAAAAAGCTATACATGTCACCGGTGTAATCGGTATTAGCGAGTACGTATTAAGCGATTAGATGTGATTTAGTATAAGATAAAGAAGGAATCGCCCGGAGGTTTCAGATTTTGTTCGGTATTAACGATAATTCGTTATAAGCGAGTTCGTAATAAGTGGAGTCGACTGTTTTTATGCATGTACATGTATTCTAAAGAATGGCTTCAATTTTCTCAATTTTGCAATTGATATCTAAATTTACCCGTTATCTTTATTTTTTCTAAAAAAAATCTAAACGTTTTACCACTTATAATACCATTCAGGTATAAACTGGATAAATAAAAGTCGTCTTTCAAAATGCTATGTGCAAACAAAAGTCCTTGTTACATCTTATTATGCCACATTTGTTCATATCAATTTGTTCTGCTTTCGATCGTCCTCAAAGCGATACTGACATATTCTCACTTAAAGGTTCCAATGACATGAAAGTGTACGGTGAGTAACGGTTTCTTTACAGAAAAAAGCTATTTTGTGTCATTTTGTTTTTCACATATGAGTATTTGGATTATACGGTCCATCGTAGCCCGGTGCTTCTGGCTTTTGATTAACGGGTACAGGGTTCGAGTCTTGATCCTCTACTGGCCAGTGAAATCCCACACATAATTGGTAGATGTAGGCACCAATAACACCACCCAGGTGAGGTCCCAGCACGGGTACCCAAAAGTAGTTGTGGTCACGGTATCTGAAAAAAAATCATAAATTCTAAAGTTTAATTACCCGAAAT